AAATAAGGTGAGTACAAAAGCTATAATTAATTAAATAAAAAAAAAAATATGGCTGACTTTTTTGTGTATTGTATTAAATTATCTTGCAAATGTAACAATTTTTAAATTATATTTTTTTACGAAAGAAACTGTTTAAATACAGTTAAATTATTTGTGCAGAGTAAAAAAAAAAAAAAAACCACACCAACTCTTAGTAAAGTCAAGGTAAGAGGCAACAATAATATTTCCGCACTGAGCGGACCGTTTTATAGATTGCTGCTGCTTGCAAGCAAAAGACAACAAACTTTACATATTGAAATATTCCATTCATTTGATGGATTTATTAATACGATAAATTGCAATGCACACAATTTGTAAAGTGCCGACCGCGGGTTTCTTTGTCATCGATGTGCAATAAAAATATGTAAAATTAATACAAAACAGAGTGATCGAAACGTACTTTTAACATGCATAAGTTATGTGAATAGAAAAAAAAAGAAGAAAATTTACAATCTGCAATTAAATATTGTTTCACATTATATTAACACATGGGACCTACTCTGTTTTCGTTTTAATTAAAAAACTTTGCACCCTGCAGATACTTTTCAATCTAATGACCAATCTTAAGGAAGGGGCAAATTAAAATGTAGTCTTCTAATCATAGATGCAAGTAGTTAACGATCACACTTGGCCGTCCTTTTCATTCACTGTTTGACCTATGGACTGTATTTCACTCTCAGAAGTCTTTAGATGATTTTCGTGTTTAACAAACTTCGATGTAATTGAATGGTCTCTTAAAGCTTTCGGTAAGTTCGTTCCGGAATCGAGCCCCATAGAGCAATAATACAGTTCAGTGTCAAATTCCGCGTAATGTTTCCGTTGGCTCTCATCCGCATTGACAATTGTCCGATCACAATTTTCCGCTTCAGTTATCGATGGATGGCCGGAGGTGACTTGGAGTGATTTTGTAACATTAACATCATCCTTCCTTTCTTTTACAATTACCAAATTAACGGAATATTTCTGAGGTGGTCTCCTTTGCACACAGCGTTCACCATCCAAGATCATACTCAGCTCTTGTTGCATCTGGGGGAAAGCGAATGGTATGTTTTGGCATTGAATCTCAATATCACAGGAAGGTGTGTGATTAATACTAGTAGGCTGCGAGATGTCGACCTCATCCTTAGATTGGATCGCCTCTACTAGACTTTGCGTTTCATTAATATCAACATTGTTTACGTTGAAACCAATTGCGTTGTATGCTATGGGTGGTGCAGCTACTATTACCATATTACGACGAATATTCGGCAGCGCCACTGTCCCGGTCACTGTTGCCCGTCTTTCTCTATGTGGCTTTAGAACACCGTCTCTACTCCGCGTTAAGCTATTGCTGAAATTATAGCTATCTCGACGGCTGCCGCCGCCATTTGCCACGCTACTTAAGGCAATGTCTACTAATGAACGTGGACTTTTGCAAGGCGAGTTATTAAAACTTAATTGAGTGTCACAAATACACGAATAGTAATCCTCTGAAAGGTAGGCTGTGGGTATACTAACCAACGATGTAGACATCGAAGCATTCCTTTTAGGTCGTTCGTACGGATTCTCTTTATTATTTGTGTATAGCTGAACATAGGTGGAAGAAGACTGCGGTGTCATCGAAAGAGGCGTAGTGGTCGACAATTTGTAAGTGCAGCTAGCCGTACTGCTCGCACTATCACGTCTTATAGCAGTAGTTTGCTGTACGAAATTCTGACAAAAATCTATCGGATCAGTGCGAAAATAATTTTGAAACCGTTGAAATTTTTGAGACAATTTCAATTTGTTTCTTTTTAATTGGAATTTTAATTTTTGTTTAGTATTGACGGCCGAAGCATTCTCACTACTACTTGCGTTAGAGAAAGTCCCACAATCTAGACCATTTGCAGCATGTTTCACAGTTAACTCGCCAGTATTGGTAGCGTTATTGATCGCCGGTCCATTTAACAGCTTATAAGAGGATTTACGTTTTAAAATAAGTTTGCGTGGAGGCTGGCGTGGATATTTAGGTGCCATTAGTAGATGTATTAACTTTGGACGAGTACCAGAGAAAACATTTTTGCGTGCATGACGGGTTGACCCTACCGTATTGCTACCACAACTTGACTCTACTGTTGTGTTAGTAGATATTGTTGACATAAAAGCAGCGGAAGAGGAAAATGGTAAAACGACAAATTTTGCATTATGTTCATTCAATTTCATTCTGTCATCATCATTATCATCGTGTTTAAAATTATTATTATCACCACAAACAACTCTATTTTGTTTACACCTACTACTGCTAGTGTTGTATGTAAGAACAGAGTAGGTTGGCTGACTGCCAGACGGAGATGTAGTTTGGTGGGTGAAAGGATAGATTGCAGGTGAAAAAGGAGTCTTGGTAAATGTGTAAAGTGAAGTAGAGGAAAGAAAACTATTGTGTACAAGTGGTTTAGCGGAGGACTCACCGGATTCCCAGTTCTCTTCATTATCCCCGTTTGTCGATGACGATGAGTGGCTGCTCACGCTGCTAGTTTTGCTATTATTGTAACTGCTATTCAACAAATTTGAGCTGATCGAATGGTTTGTGGTTTCCACCAAACTGGGACTATCACAGTAAGAGGACGGTCGGGGATGTGAATCTCCAATAATCATATCATGCTCGCTGCCATACGAAGCAACGGGAACAGGTGGCAACCTTAGAACTTCTCCTTCCGCAGAAGTTAGCATCTGTTTACGTTGATCATCCATCTGCTTTGGCGTCGATGGGATTGTTAATGCCTTTTTAACGACATACTGCATTTGTGGCTGATGTTGCTTATGACGATAATTATGATGCTGTCTGCGATTATTGTGCTGCTCATCCATATATCCTAGTGATTGTGGTGAAGGTTCGGCTGTCGCGACATTGATAGTTTTCTCGCTACCTGCGTAATGACTGTTGAGTTGCTGTAACTGCTTAATTTCACGGCTGCTACTATTTCGTAGTTGCCGATTTGCTGTCTCGAAACCATCTCTACCACCAAGACTGCTACTCATAGAAGCTGACGAGGAGGATTTGTGATCGCACATGTAATTCATCTCACTGCCGCTGCTACTGTTTTGTGGTAAAATATAATTGTTCGTTTGAGATACTCGTACGGTTGAATTGTGCGCCGTTGGCCGATGGTTGGTTGTTAAATGGTTGGTGTTTATCTGATTACGACCAAAATTGTTATCATCAATATAAAATACAAGTTCGACCTGGAAACATTTAAAATGAGTCGTTACATTCAATCCTAAAATAATTAGAAATCCTTATAATTAATCCAGGAATCGAAAGGAGACTACATTTAGTACCGATCAATTTGACGAGCACTTTTTATTTTTCTCTTTCTTCAAGTTAAGTCACAATTCTTAGAATTTTTTTATTGGCATTGCACGCACGGACCGATCTGTTTCTATTTAAATATTTTTGAAATAACTGTAAGTTCTGTGGATAAAATAAAAAACTTTAATTACAATTAAACCCATAACCACTTTATCACTTATCACTTCTTGGGTACACATTTTTAAGCCGAACAGAAGATGCTAATTCAAATGAATTACAGAATTTACGTATTTTACTAAGATTGTGTGGCGATCGCGGAAACATTTATAAATATATAAATAAAAACCTTAAAATCCTCAGAGAAACATTTATTTTCCTTATCCTTATGAGCATCATCAATTTCCCATTTGCGTAATGTATAAACAAGTTTTATGTCATTGCCTTCACCCTCCATAACTAAAATGACAAACATCATAACATCTTTATGTCATATGTACGACTAAATCTTCAAGCCAAGTAAAACGCTTACCGGACGAATCCGTAACGAAAAAGGTATTAAACCAAAAGTGAAAAATTTTTTTATTATTTTTTGTTAATTCGACTTTGATATCACCAGCGACAGGTAAAGCAGGGTTTTTCATATCCAAAATATAAGTTTTGCGAAAATCAATTGACAGACTTTGCAATTGCTGCAAAAACCAACGAATTATGTAAATACAACCGATAAAATAAATCAAGAGCGACAAAATTACCTGAACCTTAACGGCCGATGTTGTATCTTGCAATACAGAAATTGAGCAATGTGCTGTGCCTTGACTGTGCAATAAATGAGCTTCGGAAAAACGAATTTCACAAAACTGCAAAAGTGCGGTAAACATTCCATTCTATTAATAATTTGTCTTAATTGAAATTATATATACGCTCTATATACACCTGTAGGATGCGACGTTCGTAGGGTAATCCAAGACGTATCAATTTTGAGAAATACTGTACATAACGTCGCTGAGATGGTATTGTAACGCCTTTGCGGTCCTTGGTTCTTTTCTCATCGTAGCAGGCCAAGGCATCTTCAGCACTACGTTGTTGACCGCTATAAAGCAAATAACAACAAATCATAGTGCCTGCAAATATGTAAATTTATGATAATCGAAAATATCAAAAAAAATCTACAATCAATTACCCGTTCGTCCTTTTCCAGCCTTACAGTGTACAGCAGCGACATTAAGACTATCTGCCTTCAGCCATTCATCAACATCTTCACAAAACTTTTGTATTAATTCTATAGTTGGTGGGTTATGGTCTTCAAAAGGATAAATAGAAACACGCTGAAATTTTAAAATAATAAACAACATTTTTTATTTTAAAATTACGGTAAAACTTTCTTGCTATGGAAAACAAACAATGCTTATCGCATGGAAACTTTTAAACTTTATGTAAACTTTAGCATTATTCCCTTTCTTATTGATGACCATCCAAATATGATTTTCTAGTAGACCTATTGTTCGATTAGGTGAACGAAGACGGTACGATGTTATCTGCCATTCTCATAACCCGAGCAAAAATTCTTTTATGCGTTGCTTCCTTGTTAGTGAAGATAAATTAAAGACTTCACACAAGGAAAAAATATTAGAGCGAATTAGCCGTCCCTATAATCAATGGGCTACGGGAAGAATTAAGCAATTACTCTTCATAGTTGACGTCGGGGCTGAGTGGAATTGTCAATTTTGGATCTCTACGTTTATATTCAACCATAATCGCAAAAACCTAGCGTGTTGCCTTTAAATACCTTGAAAAACTTTATAAAATCTTCGTGTTGAATTATAGTTTTCCCTTTTTTAAACAGTAGCGTTATTTTGGGGAAAAAAATTGAAAGTAGAGTCGTGCAAATCTTGGATATGCGACAGATATGACAGCCATGTCTGCAAGTCCCAACGGTAATTAGCATTTAGAGAAAAAATTAATTTTCGTAGTGATTTACGCACGTAGTGAATGCACGTAACTTTGAAAATTGAACCAGAAAGCAACGCAGTGAAGTTTCATATTATTCTTAGCATTAACGTTATTATAAGGCTGCAATAATTCCTTTATTTAATATAAACGAGTGAAGAGTAAGACAATGACAGTGTTTAGTCGTTTAGAATTAGGGTAACAAGACGGATTGAAAATGTTGTAAGACACAACCTTGAATTTCTTAAGAACCAAGAACATAATAATAATGACATCGAAATTGTTGAATACGTGGCCAGATTGGGAAAAAATGATAAGACAGCCCAATGATAATTATTTTGAACTTCTTATTGTAGAATTTAATTTTCAACTCAATTTTTAGGAAATATAACACATCAACCAATAAATTCGTAGTATGACGCAGGGGGTAAACACAGTCGCGCTTATATTTCCAGGCCTGTGGGAGAAATCAATTTATAAATTTACAACATTTCCTTTATATTGTTTATATTTATTTTTATGAATCTATTTATAATCGCGGCCTCATTGTATCAGCCCCCGTAATGACTTCGCCACTTTCCATGAGTTCATACAATGTTTTAGATAGTAACTGTCTTAAAACAAAATGTATTAGAATACCATGACATTCCGATAATCTGTTAACATGTACAGTTGTTGCAGTAACGCTACCTTTAAAACTTTCAAAACAATTGAAAAATCGAAATGTGATGTATAGAGTAAAGGTTGATTTTTGATGAGCAAAAGGCGCGTTCACAATTAGCATCGGCTTGAAAGATGTTATGGCGACTCTTTCCTATCGGAAAGATGAATGTGTGGGTAATTTGCTAACTTTAAACAAAGTCTTATGGGCACCCCTAAACGCTTTACACAAAATAGTTTTGGAAAACCGAAAAGTGAAGTTATACGAGATACGAGATAGCTGACAATCGCTATCATTATCAGAACTATGTCTTTACTATGTTGTCCATGGGAAAAATCTGTTCGAAGTGCGAATGATGGGGACCGCTCTTTGTCGAAACGAAAAAGTTTTTTTGTGCGATAAGTGACAATGGACGGATCATGGACTTATCACTACACTCCAGAATTAAATTGATAATCAGCCGAGTGCAATCGGCGAAACCCGTCCAAAGTGACCAAAAAAGTCGCTTCACTAAAAAAATCCTAACTCGCAATGTAATGGTTGAAATGTCGTAAAATTTTGACACATTTTATTTGAAGATTGCTAAAAATTCTACGGATTTATCCTATGTTACGAACTTATTGACTGATGTGTTAATTGACGTTTTATGCTTTTTGTAAAAGCTAAGTAAATAATGATGTTTAAATTCTACTCAGAAATAAATGGGCATTAAGTAATCAAAGAAGTCTAATAATAGAAATAGACTTGGTTTGCTTGAAATCTTATATAACCGTATTTGGCAGTAAGTTTTCCTTCGAATAGAATCTGCATCACGTATGCCCATCTTCCTTATAGCTATACAAATATTCTCTACGTTCTCCGAGGGTTTTGAAGTGGTTCTCTTCAAAATGAGAATATTTTTAGCACAAAGGAAGCAGACTTTGCAGTATGAAAGTAGAAAGGGATGATCCTTAAAAACGTCAATATTTATTTATTAATATTTCCACTCACCCCATGAAACTTTTTAATGTCGTAACTACGCTCAAGGCAGAGATTATAAATTTTATAATGATCACGATGATTCTCTTCCAGAAATTTGTAAACATCCTCCAAGCGATTCCGATACATACTTTCATATTTTTCGGCGGGATACCCCATGGCAATAATGTTGTCACAAACATCTATGATACGGCAAAAATAAAGATATATTTTTTAATAATTACATAAATGAATAATTTATATGAACTCTTGAAGGGCAATTAAGAACTTACAGGTTAAATCTAAATTGAAACCTTTCTCCTTATAGCGAATACGCTGTTTACTGACCACATTTCTTAAAACGTTTGTCATTACGGACAGTTTATTGGCCATCTTCTGCTTAAATTTGTAAAGGTCAATGCCGGCTGTTTGGCCGGTCTCGTTTAGGGTTCGCCTACCTATTCGACTTTTGATTTGGAAACCCGTCGTGAAGAAAATTTTGTAATCCTAGTGATCTTGAATTTATATTCAAAAGGGTGGTAGGCCTGATAATGAAGGTATTAATATTAATGCTGGTGGTAACTTCGCTTCTTGTCGATACTTCTACTCTTGGTCCGCCTATTGGATATTGACTAATATGCGGATGCTTTGCGTTGTGGTGTTTGTGGTATTCTTAGCGGTATTAAATGGTTGCTTGTTCGTATAGTTGATTGAAGGGATTGGAAGCTTATACGTGTCCATACGTTGTTGATTTTCGGCAAATCAATTAGCGTATTGAATATCAAATTGATAATAATTCAATTGTTGGCAAATCCATGCTGTCCAAAAAAAAAAAAACAGAAAGAAAAATATACATATAAGTAATAATCGCACAAATAGGAGAGAAGTCGATAGTTCTGCTGCAATCAATTTGGTGGATAAGGAGATTGCATTTATATGCACTTATTAACAACGTCCATAATAACGCAGCAACACAATATAATTTTAGTATAAGAATTTCTGTATAAGAATTTCTTATTGCAGTATTTTTTCTTTTTTTTCATATCGGTAATTTCTTCAAACATTGTTGAGTCGATGCATACTAAGTGGTATTTCTTGGGCATCCAGGAAGCCCTTACATCTTAAAAAGGCACTGTTGACAGATAAAATCTTCTTTGTTTTCTCTTATTTTTATTCAAAATCATTTTTCATTCACATTCGGGCTTATGTGTGCAGACAGCTAACGACGCACACACTCACAACTTTTAAAGAGGCATTCAAATAGCATAAAAAACATTAATCAAACGCCCAGCACAACTTCGCAAGTTACGAAATATACTTGATTGATTGGCACCGACAAATACTCCGTGTTCTATATGTCCTTTGGACAGACAGACGGATTACGCGTGAGAAGCGTTCAAAACCGGACAACTTCGGCCCTAACAATGGATCATGCGTTCTTCTTCTTTCTTTTTTGTCTCTTCTTCACTTCGTTTACTCTTTTATTTGGTTTTACTTATTCCTGTCTTCTATTTCTAGAATATAATTCTTTTTTCAATAGTGATTTTCACTTGAATTTCTTTTCTTTACACTTAATAATAATTGCACTTATTCGTATGTACGTACGTATACCCCGAGGTCCGCGATAATTTCCTGGTCACCAAAAATCTTTCCTATTTATTTTAGTCAAAAATCAAATAAAAATGAAATGTAAAAAATTTTCTTGCAACAAAAATGTCAATAGTGATGATAACATTAACAGAATCGTGTATTTTCTGATTCCGAATACTAACTATCGTTCAAATCGGTCAATAACCGAGTTGATAGATGTTAAAACTTTCTTTTCTTTAACGGGTTGTGGCAACAATGTGTAAAAATAAATTATGAAAAAGTTAACTTAAACTTAACATTTGGTTTGACTTTCTTTAGTTAAAAACGTATTGAATCGTATTGTACAAAAAACGCCATCTGAAAACCAAAAATATTTCCAGCATCCAATTATGCAACGATTATTAGGCGACAATTTTTTCTTGAACTTGCTGGCTAAATGGACTAGCTTTGACTAAACTCCATAAACGGGCATAGTCTTGTAAGACAAAACAATAAAAACTTAAAAGCTGGAGATAACGATTACTTATATGACTAACTTTACGACTAGTTTAAGAATTAAACGGAATTGAACAGATTTATATGGTATGTAAATCTAACCATAAAGTGGGGGTCTTAATTCATAACGTGCTTTGCATTTATTTTTTGAGTTGGTACTTATCGCCGACCTATGAGGGTGCTTATGTTTAAATCATATAGGATTGTTGTTTTCATTCTCTTAATGTTGCTTGAAAAATAATAATTCAAATCGGCATCTAATACGTGAAATTGTTTATTTTGTATTAAATTTCTACATGAAAAATTAGTACTTGTTCAGAAATAGAAAATTTCGGATAAGAAGAATAACCGCTTATAGCGTCGTCAAAATCAGATTCATTGTTCTGTGTTCAGAAAAGTTATATTTGTGCTAATACAATAGTATACGATATTATATATATACCCTCGCGTTTCTAAGAAATTTTCTCATCCGCCTGGGTGGCCGAGTAGGCAAGAGTCTCGACTAGCAACTCAGTGGTCGTGGGTTCGAATTTCAAGTGCGGTAGAGTTTTTAATAAAGGCCGATAGCCTTAGATGCTAGTGCTTTTAAGAGTTTAGTCTTAGAATTTATTTCTCTGGCGAAATTAATAATAATAATAATAATAATAATAAGAAGTTTTCTTTTTGCGAATATATTAATATAACAAATATGAAGGAATTCCTTTTATTCACTTGAACTAATTGATTATATGGAAGTGTATAGTTTAAACAATGAATATTGTGAAATTATTATCTCTTTTACATGAATTTCACCAAGACTTCCTTCATATTTTTGCTTTATTGATTTAAATTTCTACTTTGTTGATCTCTCGTATTCTTACGAATATACTGAAATGGAACGCTCACTTTTCTATCCTATCAGTGTTACCCTATTTCAATTCCACGTATAGATCGAGAACTTTTTGATACAGAGCAACGGGCACTCTGAAATTAAGAAACTATTTTCTGTTGCCAACTTATAAGAAAAGTATAACTTGAGATAGAATATTTCTTTAAATGCTGCGTATAAATTAAAGAAGTGGAAATACATCAGTTCAACATTGCTTATATGTCAAACTAAAAGAAAAATTTAAAAAAGTAATTTTCAAGCCAAAAAATCGAATGCGAAATACTTCACACGTTCTTTCGAGGCGAATGTTAATGAAATTTTAAAGTAGGCATGTTTGTTTAATTTTCATGTTGGGTTTTCACTGCCCTTTTCTTCTCTCATATTTATTTATTGAAAATTTTTGGTGATTGTATATTAAACTATAAAAAGTGATTTGAAGGGCAATAAAGGTAAAAAAAGTACGTTCATGATGAGAATCATGTTTTTCCGACATAATTTCTTTCTGGACTTCTTGGTTATAAACTAAACATTATGAGAGGTGTGACAAGAAAATTAATTTTGCCAAATGTGGACGATGTCAATTCGCGGGTTTGACCCTCTTATATATAAGAATCTATATACGAAAATCAGATATAATTTTCGGTGTATTATCAAGAAAGCGAATAAATTCTATTATGCAAAATGATGACGGGTATTTAATCATCGGCCTTACCCCTCAGTAGCGTTTTCCTTCTTATTCTGATCGAAAGAAAATATGGAAAATAAAAAAAAAAAAAGGGGAAAGAGCAGTAGTAGGCTTCATTCCGTTACTTAAAGCAACATATTATATTTTACTGAATCTGTAAGTTGATAATCAATTGCTAATCTTAACAGGAAATGTCACATGCTAGCGTTAAGAGCTTAAGTTTATCCAAGAAAAGAAAAATTCGCGAAAACCCAACGCAGAATGTCGACGCTGGAATTTCGGCGAAGCGTTCGCGCAATACAACGCAATTAGTAAGTAGATCGTTCGCCTTTAAGTTTATTCGCATATGACATATAATAAAAGATGTTCAATTACATTGCAGAGTCAGTCCGAGCGCGCTAATACAAGCGGGATAGAGGACACGAGACGTTGCGGTAAAATTATCAGTATTCACTTAACAAATTTCATGTGCCACTCCAATCTACGAATAGAGTTTAATCCCCGAGTAAATTTTCTTGTTGGACGTAACGGGAGTGGCAAGAGTGCCATTTTGGCAGCGTTAGTTCTTGGCTTGGGCTGTAACGCTAAAGTCACAAACAGGTCTAAATCTGCTAAAGGTTTCTAAATGTTGACATTATAATCTTGTTTTCATAACTAGAAAAAGTTCTAATTTGGTTGATTGTAGATTTTATAAAAATTGGGGAAACTACTGCAAAAATTGAAATAACAATAGCCAACGATGGGCCTCAGCCTTTTGACCCCGATGAATATGGCGAGTCCATAACAATTGTGCGTACTATCACAACAAGCTCAGGGTATTATGCAATTCGAAATTCCCACGGCAGGATTGTAACCAAAAAATTTGACGATCTTCAACGCATTCTCCTATATCACAATATACAAGCGGATAATCCGGTGTTTGTTCTAAATCAAGACTCTGCCAGAGAATTTCTAAAGGAGTAAGAATTTGATATTTGAATTAGTGAAAAAAGAATATGACGGGTAATGTTTCCATTACAGATTGGAACCTTCGAAAAATTATCAACTCTTCCTGAAAGCCACTCAAATCGATTTAATTACTGAAAAATTAGACGAATGCTTGCATTTGCACAAAGCACATCGCGAGGAATTAGCTACCACCGAGAAAGTGAGCAAATATTTTATGAAAAAGCATTTGCGAATATAAAAGTAGTCGCTTATGATAATTAATATTCGTTATTATTGCTTTATGTTTAAGTTAATGGCTTTAAAAAAGCGTATTTACTTATTTATGCGCATTTCCCCGTGTTCCGTGTTCAATCACCCAAAAATTATTAGTTTATTGTTGCACACAAATATTGAGGCCAAGTGCATATGCATAGTAATCGGTCGATTAGTCTTCTTTTATTTTGGCACACACTCTACCTAAAGTCGCTCAAAAATGGACACGATCCGCATTTAAATGTGTCTAAAATATAGTAAAATCGTTGACTTACATTCTGGAGGAAACATATAAAAGTTCACTGTGACCATAATCCCGATCGAAAAGCTGACATACCTAAATACATATCTTTAATGGTGGATGTTCAAAATTATTATTTACTTTTTTTTATTTCGGAAGTAATACATCATTAAAACTGTTTACCTATCTTCGCCACTGTTAATCATTCAACGTGCGTACAAGATTTAGCATTAAAGCAAAACGAAATTAAATTTTTTTCTAAGATTACATAAATATTTAATGCATCTTTCTATATAATATAAAAAAAAATATTTGTCATTTTTTCCTAGAAATTACAATATATGGAAAAAGACATTGCGGTACACAAAGGGAAATTAAAGGAGCTGATGGAATTTGAACATCTTGGGGTAAGCAAATATATACATACATATATCTACCAAAAGATCGCGGTATCCTAAAATGAAATTTCACTAAGGTTCAGATTGTATTTCCTGAAAAAAACTAAAGGCTAGGACAAACCGTCAATTTATTAGCCCTTTTTATGTTGAACTTTTTTTTTGATACAATTGAAACGTTGTGCGTCGATCAAGTTTAAGTTCTTCTACGACGTTGGTAGTAGAAATATATATATACCAATACGTTTCTGGATGACTGCAGATGTAAACATTCCATGAATTTTTTTTAGACGCAAATAAGTGGCAATTGAGGAATCTTCGGCTCTTTCAGCCGAAGATTCCTCGCTCTAACACTGCCTTTTTAATATTTTACTAAAATTAGTTCATTTTCAATACTTAAATGTATCCTGATTAACTTCATTGAAACTATTATTCTATAACTTGTCCTTTCATCCCAAAAAAATTATCAAAAATATGCTTTTTTCCATGTTTTCGCGTACGATTGATTATTGCTTGTTTTTTACAGGAAAATTTGAACGCTCTAAATATCGAATATCACTGGCTATTAGTTAAAGAACAAGAAGACAAGTTAGATGAAATCCATAAAAAAATAGACAAACATGAAGGAAAAGTGAACGAGCTTAATAAACTAATAAACAATAAAGATGAAGTTAATAGCATCTTGACGCAGAAAATTGCGTATGTATATTATAAAAAACTTCTGTAGAAAGAACTACTTTAAATATCTTATTAATAATTAAAACTTTTTATTTTTACAGAGAATCCTTTGAAAACATTAAAGTTAAGAACAAAGATTACTCTGATGTCAATCAATCGTTACGAAAAATACGATGTCAAATCGACGAAATCATTAGAAAGCGTTCAGAAATTGAGATGAAAATAGAATCATTAAAGAAGAAAAAATCGCGCCTGGAAAAACATATAAACGACCTAAAGCAACACATTGAAGAGCGATCGAAAAGGTATTTTTGTATTGTCCTTTATTAAGGTGTTTTCATATCTACTACAAGTCAGAAAGAACTTCAAGCGTTGTTAAAATCAATGAGAACCAACTAGTCGTACCAGGCGCCTATCACACTTTTCAACTTTTTTTGGTTTCAGTAAAACTTTTGATGATTTTGCGGTTTGGTACAACATCATGAAATTATTTTTCAGTTTCATTTCAGTTCGACACAACTTCCTGGGATTATTTCCCTTAGGCTAATAAGATTGTGAAGCCAATGATAACCTTTTTTCTTAGGAGCTGCAGGCAATTTACCAGGCTAGTTACAGCATAAATTTTCGATAACTATGTGGATTTATAGCAACAAAACTACTTTTTGCTATGAATATCTAACCGTTTCATTGTTTGCAGCTAACATTTAACCTTAAATTTCCTTGAAAAGGTGCTCTAGCTAGAATTCAAATGATGCAAATATCAAATGGTTTTCCATTAATCTGAATAAGCCTATGGTTGGTGTAGATCTTTTTGGTACAATTTCCTTAATTACTTGATATGGGATTTGTGTGTCACCGTATAGAAAAAAGATTTGTATTTCTCTCTAAAAATCTGTGAAAAATAAAGAAGCAACTGATTGTAATAATCTTGAATGCGACTCCACCCCCTTTTTGGGCGATCCTCTGCAAAGAAAAGAAGAAGAAGATTATACTCGGACGCGACTGAACGTTTTATATTCATCACCGTTATCCTAACAAAACACAAAAAAAGTAATAGAACTAAATTTTCATCCTTTGTAATATTGAGTGGGAGCGGATGATTTTTTCTATTTTCAGAATAAAAGTTTTAGTCACATAGGTGTTGTAGGTGTGTGCCTTATATTTATTTTCGCTGAAGGGAGAATGCTTACAACAAATGTAGCACAGTTAGGTAGACGGACAGATGGACAGGCGGACATGTTTGGATGCATTCCAAATATGAAACTGGTCAAGAATTTATATATTTTATAAGGTTTTTGAAGCATGCTTCTGCACATTATAAAACGTAGGCGTAGTCAATTTTTTCTCAGCGTTCTCAGTTTATGTGGTGTTACGGCCGCAAGCGCCCTTCGGCCGATTTAGCTCATGTTCAATACCAACCTGCGTGCTGGAATTTCCAAAGTTTCTTCCAAATTTGAAATTGATGGCTTCATTTTTGCGGCCAGGAGAATGCTTCCGATAGACATTACACAGATAAAGAAACGGACATGCTTGGATCGATTTAGAACCGCGTGTACTGTCTGTACCCCATCCGATATAAGATTTGCTATAAAAAGTACGGTAAAGTTTTATTTTGAGCTATTTAACGAAAATAATCATTAAATTTTCGACAAGTAAGTTAATCTTATTAAATGTGGACGACGTCTATTTACGTTTTGGATTCTTCACATACAAAAACCTGTTTTGTTTTATATTTTTATCCATTTTAGTTTATTCAAAAGTGCATTTTTAGATTTTATTACGATTCAATTTTAAAATCTTGCTTAAAATATAATTTTTAAGTTTTTACTGTAGTTAATGTAACGGGACTTCTCTGATCGATTACAGTAATCAAGATGATATTGATGCTTTAAATCTTGCTTAAAATATAATTTTTAAGTTTTTACTGTAGTTAATGTAACGGGACTTTTCTGATCGATTACAGTAATCAAGATGATATTGATGCTTTAAGGAGGCAAAATGAAGAATCTCTTGCTAATTATCGTAAACAATGCGAAACGAGCTTAACGCCATTAATTGAAAGTCTTAAACGAGAGTTAAACATGTTAATGGAAAATAAATCTCAAAAGGAGTTGATTATTGATAAAATCAAGCAAGAGCACGGAAGTTGTTCCCATAAGATATGTAGGTTGAAGGACGAATTTGAATGAAATTCTTTTGATTTGAATTTTTTTTTTAGCTACAATTGATAACCAAATGACAACTGTGAAAGAAAGCATTAAAAACAAGATGCTTATCTACGGTAGACATATGCCGGAACTCTTGAAAGAAATTAAAAAAGCTCACGCTGACGGAAAGTTTTCTGTTCCACCAATGGGACCAGTAGGAGCTTATCTTCAGGTGCCCAATAATCAGTATCGGGAGTCTGTAGAAAGTCTTATTGATGCTAAAACGTTACAAGCATTTATTTGTGATAATGCTAGCGATCGTCGAACGTTTGAACATATTTTGAGTAAATTATCTAAAGAAAATCATCATATGATTATAACTACAAAATTTATGCGTCAGGTCTGAAACTACGACAGTAATAAGTTCTTAAATTTCATACAATGTTACTTGCATAGGTTTATGATGTCAGTAATGGGCGGGTTATACCGCCATCCGGTACGTCTTTATTAATGGAACTAATTGAGTGCCCAAATCCGGTAGTAATGAATTTTTTGATCGATCGAATGCGTATTGAAACCATACTTCTTACTGACAAGAAGGATATCGCCGAAAGCATTACTTCTATTAGAGAAAACGTTCCAAACAATTTAAGTAAAGTTGTTGTGCTTTGTTCTGATTCTGCTCACTTGGAATATTATCCGGTACCTCACTATCGGATGTATTCAAACAAGATTCGTCGACCTAAATATCTGCACATCAATGTAAATGAACGTATCAAGTAATATTTTCTCTGTTTTGTTTATAATTCTGTAAGTCACAGACTTCGTGAATTACAGATATTTAGAAGTTGAAAAGAGTAAACTAGAAAATCAATTAAGCAGTTTAAAAAAGGATTTGGAGGGTGTGGTTCCACAGCTGTGTAAAGATAAGGAACAAATCCAGAATAAGCGTGCTTTATTGGAGGAGAAGGAAGGAGCCTTAATGGAAATGCTACAGAAAATCGCTGATTTAGACAATGTTGAATACGCCGATTATAACAACGAGTTGCAACTATTAGTAATTTCTTTATTTTGAACTTTTCTAATGTATTACTATTTAATCGAGTTTTCATAATTTTTTCAGAAAAATGAAATTGAGGAACGCGACTTTCTTTTAATTGAAATTGATCAGGGCGTCAATGAAAATGATCTTGAATTAAATAAATTTAAAAGCCAAGAAGAAGCTTTCAAAGACGATTATGGACGGAAGAAAAATAAACTTCAGGAAATACAAAATGAAATTGAAGGAATGAAGGTATCAATTGCAATTAATAAGTAGGGAAACTGTGCTCGCTTTAGAAGGAATCTCAAATCATTTCCAACTCTTCTGGATTATATTCGATCTTTAAAAGGGGCAAGAAAATTTAGCTCGGGAATAAGATTTCGTCAGTCGACCAACTTTTAGAAGATTTGACTAAACACTTCTAGCTAATTTTCTTTCAGTGCATGGTAAAAATTTAAGTTAACAATTTCAGGCTAGGGTGGAAGATAATGGGGCTCACCTACTTCAATTATTGCTAACGAGAGAGCTAACTCTCACTAAGAATAACTAACAAACAGCATAGGCAAATTGAGTAAAAAGTTAAGAGCGCGGCTAAATTGATTTCCAAATTTCACGCAGACGGACGCTCAGCAGCGATAAGGGAACTTAAGCGACTAGAAATGTCATGCGTATGGAAAGCACACGAGAGTCTTAACTAGCGACAATAAGAGAAACTTCACGCCGATGAAGAATTTGTACTTTGAGGACGCTATATACGTCTTGTAGGAATAAGATACATATATTATGATGCGTATATTTTACCGCTCATCTCATATGTTTATACATATGTTTTCTCTTCAATTCTTTACATAACCGAATTGTCCATTCTTTTAGGCCGATTTAGATAAACTGAAACTAAAATTGCGTAACATTAATGATAATGAAGCTTTAAATAAAGACAGACTAGAAGGCTTAACGAAACAGTGTAATCAATTCGAGGAAAGTATAAAAATGTATATTGATTTAAAATTATTTTCATGAGTTTTGATATACAATGCAGACGGAGAAAAATAAAATTATAAAATTGATTAACACAGCAAAGCAGTTTGCTGAGCAAAAAGGAGAACGTTTGATAAGCAATTTAACTGTTGATGAGGTTCTCATGCAAATGGCAAGAATTAAAGCTAAGTTAGAAAGGGGAAGACCTATTGATTTGGATCAAGATTCTTTGCAAGATCTAATTGCACATAAAGAGAGAGAATTGGAAACCAAACGTTTAATATATGATAACCTAAAAACATCGATAGATTCGGTATTTAATCAATTCAGTCCTATTGGAACTGGCGTTAAATTAAATATAAAATGTTATAACCATTGCAGTTGCGTGCTTCACTAAGGCATCGTTTCGATTTTATTAAAAAATTTAAGGGTCATATGAGTATGCTTCTTACAATGAGTTTTGAGGTGATTTGAAAATTGATTTAAGTAAGACTCCTTTTAAAAAATTATTTTCTTTAGATGATATTACGATTACGTAATTATGTCGGTAATTTAGTACCTGATCATCAAAATAAAACTTTGAAAATATCAGTAATTCCTAGAGATCATGACACGGCGTCCGTATCGAGTGCCCGCGCTTTATCTGGCGGAGAACGCTCTTATTCGACAGTCGCATTTTTGATTTCGCTGTGGTCCTGCGTAGATCATCCATTTTATTTCCTCGACGAATACGATGTGTTTACGGTATGTTGTTTAAATAATTGCATGAAAAATTACTGCTTTTTAAAAATATCTCATTTGAAAAGGACGAAGTTAATCGAGAATACATGACACGTTTACTAACTGAAGAAGGCCGAAATCACGCTTGGCGCCAATATTCTTTTTTAACACCTCAGGACATGAGTTTAGACCCAGAGAATTTTATTAGAATCCATCGGTACTGTACAGAAGAGTATTAACTAATATAAGTAAACTACATTTTTCTTCTCCCTAGACTTGCCGAACCTGATCGTCATTAATTGCTCTGCAAACCTGATAAATTTATTATAATTAAATCAACTAAAGTCTTCATTTAAATATTATTACTTTTTATCTTTTCTGTGAAATTCCATCAACAAGTATTATTTTGATTAATTTCCACATATGACATAAGTTTCTTTATGATCAGCACATTTGCAGGCCTAAACGAGTGGCATTTTTGATATAATTTTCGCTAATTTTCAATTTGTGTGTTATTTCGTTTTCTTGTAAGCATTTCACAACTTTAACGTATCTACCAAAATCTATTGCTCCGTTAAGCGCTTGTTATTCTATTCTGGCAATCTACATGTCCATTAAAGTGATGTCTTCCAATGCTAAATTGACCAAATAAGAACAAAAAAGTCATTTCAATAAATGACTAAATTTAAAACGAAAAATCGATATCGTTTTGCGTTGATTTCTTAGCTAGTGTAGGATACCAAGTCTTTTTACTTTAGTTTTTAAGCGATTCTTATAAATTTTAACCAAATATACATCGTCAATGAAACATGCTACATACATGTAAAAAATGATTTGGTATTTGTGCTGCTTGAATTTAAACCCAATAAGCTGTATGTGTTTCTTTGCGAAGATACAGATTTAAGAATGCAAGTTAGTTTAAGTACGACATAGGTAAATCGCGCGTATTAAGGAAAGTTGCTTTAAGAGACTTTAAGTCTGATAATGTGAATAAACAAGACATCATTTAGGTTTCTGCAAACTATTATGAGCGGGTTAAAGTGCTCATAATTGTATTTACATTGACTAAGTGCCTAGAGAAGCGATTAGGGACATTTAAGCTTATCTTACTAAGTAATGCGGGCTAGTTTATAGTACCATTTATTACTTTGATTAAGAAGGAAACCCCAAGAACAAATCTGCGTTTTTCAAGTGACGGTAAGAATAATAGAAGCAACCTATTCTCGTAGGGGGGAAGAGCGGTAATCGGGTCCCAACCCAAATGCCTAAGGCCAAACAGCAAGAATTGCTTTTGAGCAGATTCAATTGCATCGACATAGCACCTATATGAAGGAGACAACACAACAGAGGCAAACTCGAGTATAGGTCTAACCAAACACATGTACAGCCTTTTCGAAATGTAAGGATCATCAAGCTCTTTGGACCACCTCTTTATAAAACCAAGCGCGGACCTAGCTTCGCTTAGCAAGGGCTCAATATGCAAATTAAAACGTAATCTATGGTCAAATAGGACGCATAAATTTGTGAACGTATCGACGTCCTCCAACTTATGAGGATCAATGAAATACTGGGTAATAAATGACTTTCTTGTTGAGAATGAAAGCTTCTTACATTTATTTAGATTTAGTTTCAAAGAGCACCATGCAACAAATTTATCCAAGTCACCTTGAAGCTGATGTGATTGCGATTCAACAGAGAAGGAAGAAAATAGTTTCACATCATCAGCATACATTAAGATCTGGCTGGAATTAATCACCGATGGAAGATCGTTAATGTATAATCTAAATAAAATGGAACCTAAGTGACTTCCTTGAGGTAAGCCAGACATAACGGGGAATTCATCCGAGGTAATGAAGTTAAACAAAACCCTGAAGGATCTATTGTGCAAATAAGAGCTTATCCGTAAGTTATGGTTAACCAAATAAAGTGCTTTGCTTAAATCGGTGTATATTACATCAGTGCGAGAAAAAGCCCTGAAAACCTGACAAGTAAACTCTAACAAATTGGTGACAGCCATGCTAGTGTGGAGAAATGTACGAATTAATGGCAAAGGCCGAATGCCGATCCACAATTCATTCGAACAGCTTAGACAAGACACTCAACTTGGCTATGCCCCTGTTGTTCTCAAAGGGTTTGTCTACTTCCACTTTTCTGAATAGGGATAAGGAAAGTACTCTTCCATCACAAAGGGAAAACACCTAAATTCAAGGACTGGTTAAAAATCTTTGAGATAAAGCCACATAACCCGACAGCGCAAGATTTAAGTACACATGATGGAGCTCCATCAGGTCCAGGCGCACAACTATATTTTAAAGATCTTTATGAGAGATAATGAGCCTGAAGAAATGTTTAGTTTTATGCAGGGAAAAGGGCTACTGCATTAGTATTACGGAGTCGATCACGAGGGATAAATTCCTCAATTAAGGATCAAACCCGCCACAATGGTTTATTTAACAACATATCCATGTTTTCAGTCGGAACTAGAATTTTAAAAGACGAGATTGCTCCAGGATAAGAAGCAGCCAATTTCAAAATGCTAACACGCTTCAAATTGACAGATGGGACTTTCGCCGCCAGATAACTTTTTATGTTATCCACAGATGTATTAGATGCCAGTCTCGGCACAAATATTGCCCTTCTGGGAGGAACTGCCTTCAAGCACATGTCATCTGTACTAGTTGCAGTAGGGTTCACGGATGGGGAAGTTTTGAGTTGGTGAGAACATAGAACGAGCAGCTTGTGCAACATGCCCAGTTTGGCGACCAGCGTTCACACTCGAACAGCCAAGCAGAGAGGACGATTTACTATTCTCGTTACTAGTTTTAGGCGATGAAGCCTAAGTGGATTGAATGACGACAATGGCGGGAGATACACTTGCCACTTCAGCATAGCTCAAACCAGAGGAACTTCGTGCTTATTTACAACTTTTTTGTTGCCGACCGACTCAACAGTGGCACAAACGCTAACGTTCTTTGTAAACCTTGAGGAGGTGCTAACTTGTATCAACGAATCAGACTTAGGAGAACTCAGAGGTGACGAACTACACGCTACGTTACGAGTTGTAACTTTGTTAGCTGGAGAAGAAGCTGAGTGCTCAATATAAGGACACTCATCAAACCTAGTCTTAATTACTTCGAATTTCTCCAATAATGAGTCGAGATTTTTGCTCAAATTTAAGAAACAATTTTTCTTCTCTGTGAAGAGTTTGTGGAAATCTATGTCCCGCTCTCTACAATCAGGACATGACCATCTTAAGCCTTTTGAGGGGTCAAGGACTGTATGAGCAGCACGGCCGATAATACCAGCACATTTTGCATGGCAAAAACGATCACACAGCCAACACGAGACGAATCGTTCAGATTCAGGGTCTGTTTTCCCTGATGTAAAGAAACAATCCATGTCCAGTGAAAACAAAAGGAGCTTATGAAAAAAAAAAAACAAATACTAAAAAATTCCACGCCAGAAATTCTCAACAAATTAAAGCAAACTTCTTACTTTCGATGCCACTAGAGCGAAAGCCAAACAAACTGTAAACAAAGATTAACAGAAAAAAAGAGAGACTTTTACCAAGAGCTCTAATCGTTAATTGCACCAAAGCAAAATTAATTTTTCACATAGAAGATTAATATATCATATAAGTTAAATCACACACTTTATTCTTTTAAAGAGTTTTTATGCTTTAGACACGAATAAAGCTATAATATATAATATAGAAATAGACTAAGAATTCGAAATATTTCTTGCATAGAATTAAAACGCGACTATAATACGCACGCAGAGCTGCCAAACCTAAATATGAAATATGACCGTATCCACCACAGTTAAAAAATTGTTTTAATTAGCGAAATTGGTGTGAAGTTACGTAAATCATTTAAGTTTTTACCTGCCTTGGGAATGGGAACTACTTTGATATATTGCAAATCTAAGTGTATAATGTTAATAGGCCAGCAATAATTAATTGCACGCAAGAGGCCAGGTAAGCTAGACAGCTCTGACCATATCATGGTTATCACCATCACAACCTGCAGCAGCAGCCCTCTTTCTAGAATATAAGAGATAAATTAGCTCATGCAATGAAATGAGTATATTGTTGAGACTACTAAAAGGAGGTGAAGATATTGTAACCTGACTGACATTGGAGTATAGTTCTTGAGCATATCTAAGCATCTTTCATTCTCATCGTCATTCCACATAGCACAACCGTTTAATTCTTGACTACACTGTCGATGAATATTGATGTAAATCCAGAAAAAACGCGAGTTGCCATTACCACATAACTCTTTGATTATTTGCGGAAAAGTGGGGACAGCGAAGAGTTCCACCACGGTATAGCTGAGAACGATTCAACACCAGAAAGGTAGGTTCTAGCAGAAAGGTCTCAGACTGAAAATCACTTTTAATTGATGATAAATCGGAAAGAAGATCGTCTTCAGAAAGACGTTATGTGAAATGAAATTTTCTATTTTTTTAACGAATTGAATTGTGAATCGCGATGGGAGCGTGTAGACTTTTGCCAATAGAGACTTTAGTCGTGTTCCAGTTGAACGATAAAATAGTTGGATTAGAAAAGGTCAGATTCAACACACTGCCCGCCGTGTGACCACCTTACAGTACAAGGTAGTATTACCATTATTTAGAACATTAAAACTGCTGGCATTGATGGTTAGATTCAACACACTGCTCGCCGTGTGACCATCTTACAGTACAAGGTAGTATTACCATTATTTAAAACATTAAAACTGCTGGCATTGATGGCATTTACAAGGATCTTGCCTTTGTTGGTGGAGAGCTGATCGCCATACAAGCAATGTCTAGCATTGAAATCTCCAGCTAGAATCGCATTTTGTTCACCATCAAGAAAGTAACATAATCTCTGCATCTCGTGACGAAAAGTTTGTACATCAACACTGGGTGGAAAGTAGCATGATGATATGAAAAGATTCGGTTTAATATTCATGGTTTCGGTTATGATATTGTCAGCAGCAGAGTTGTAGGGAATATATCTGATAATGACGACTTTCTTAACTTTCTCGGTGGCTGAACTATAATTGGAAACTTTAGCTTCCAAAAAATTGTCATCTTTCAGAAAAACTTTACTTAAGATGCAGAAATCAAGTTCAAGTAAAACTTCAAAAATTATAAGTTACGCCGAACACTTTAAATATTATATTGCAAAAAACGAGATCATATTTTAAATAAAAACGGAGCCCTAGCGGATTTACTCCTAGTACGTAGCGAGAATTAGCACAAGACATTTTCTTTTCAAATTCCTTAACAAAATTCTAAGAAATCATTGGCGGGATACATTCTTTAATCGCAGAGATTAATCTATCAAGTTCCAAGGAAAGCAAATTGTCGTTCAAAATCACTAGCCGCTGAAATTTTGTTACAGACGGCTTAGGGGGTGAACCGGGAGAAGGTTTGGAAGGGAAACTCTCGTCGTAGGAATTATCATCGACACGTTCAAAGTAGTTTGAGGAAAACTTGTCTTTCACTTCTTTGCAGGATAGTTTTTTAATGGCCATAATTTTGTTGATGTTTAATTCCCACTCTTTGTTTGGGCAAGATTTGTCTAGGGTGTTGTGCTCACCTAAATCACAGGGCAGACACCTCATCGTTTCGCAGTTTTCGGTACATTTAGGAGACCTGTAGCGATTCAGGCACCTGCTCGCCTTGGCTTTACAAAACTTCGACACACGCCCATATCTGCCACACTTAAAGCATTGCTTTAAGGTGGTTACGAAGTACTCCACGAGAAAGTTGCTAAAATTGAACTTGATCGATTTGGGGCGAGCTTTCCCTTTGAAACCAATTTTAATACTCGTTGTGGTAATAAAATCGTCCTTGCTGTTAGGATTTTTTTTTGAACCCCAACCGCAGACAGGAAATATCGGACATCGTGATCTCATTTACATTATACTCAATAGGGATATTGCGAATAACTCCGAATATATCCCAGACAAATCACGGAATTTGAATTAGTTTAAACGAAGTTGCTAGCACTAAGAGCAGAGCTGAACAGCAATTTGGCTCTACCACCTCTACTTGGAAACCATAGTTTGGCAGTAATATTTAATATAAAACGTACATTTTTTTAAACGGTATTTTTAATCTGTTTGGAGATATCTTCAAATAGTACAGCCTTGCTTTTAGAAAAGCAAAAGTGTACACTCAATGATCGACGTACGTAATTGCAGAAACTACTGCAAAATTCTTCCTTGAAAAAGGTACATTTTCTAGAGATATTTTTAAAACCCTTCATAAAATGATTGGCATTTATTTAGCTCACTTGCGTTTTGAAGAACAAACTGGGCCGTGATGAAGTTATAAAATTTTGGAATTGTTTACTACGAGTTTTCAGTATTGAAAGTTTTGAAGATTGAGAGAAACGATTTGCTTGTGTGAAATCCTTTCTTGACGGCTTATTAAGGGGGGAACTAAGTTGTAGGCAAACATATGTGATAACACCTAATAACACGTTTGTGTCTGAATTTGCAAACATTGCCTGAGGAGCGTTTAATAGAGATTTTGAGGCGTTGTGCAGATTATTTATATGTAGCAAATCCAAAATCTGTTGAATGGAAAGATTTACTGCCGTTAGTTTTACATATACTTATTGACCGATGAATTCTTATAGTAAGGGGCGTAAACATGGGCGGTTTAGAATATTGCAATTTAATTTAATTATCAATTATGTTTACGTTCTGTTGACCGAGTGCTAACTGCTAACTGCTAATAAAATTACGGGTGTGTTAAATAAATTTTGTGGTTAGATGATATCTTTAGCTCCAGGGTCATTGCCTGCATATCAGTTGTTTTCTATTTGCTTCAACGTACGTCAGATTATTGCACTGGTATTGGCATTGGACAAGTAGTTTTATCGATTTTATTATAAAAGACTATTTTCCGATATGAATAGCAACATTACATTTTTTTCTTAACTTTTTAATTGAAGATTGAATACTATTTGCAAATACGAAGGACAAATCCTTTTTTTCAAAGCTTTTGGAGCAGGGCGTGTATCGAAAAATGATGTATTTATTTATTATTTCTTTTGGTTTAATTACAGTAGTAATAAAATTTACTACCACTAAAATATGATTTCATATTATATAGAAAATAATCCGTGGTAGTTGCGTTGAACAACAATAAAAGAGAGAAAAACTTGTAGAATATACAGAAAATAATCCGTGGTAGTTGCGTCGAACTGAAATAGAAGTGAGAAATAATTTCATGCAGTATAGAAAATAATCCGTCCACTTGCTTTTCTATTTTCACTGCTTCGCTAAGTTTACACGTCACATCTGTGATCTTCTTGATTTTAGGGGGAGCTAAAGAAAGAATAATATTTTTATTACAAACAATTAGAATAAAACACTTTCTGTTACCCTTAATGATTAAATTAATTTCTGAAGTATTTTCACCCAAATTATTCACAGCATGGAACAAATAGATACCAGCGTCGTCGGTGTCGGTGTTTTTAATAATCGTCTTCATGTAGGAATTTATGGCTCTCATCCTTGACTTGAACCACCGGTTTACGAAAACCTTTGTATTGCAATTCCAATGTGCCAGCGCCTCCCACATGCGTAGTATTAGCTTCAGGGCGTTCAATAACCAATGTTGGTTGGCTTTCGGTAAAGTGTTTGAATAGCACCTTGAACGGTCAGCTTGGCGCCACATGATATGGTAGGCGTAGTAGTTTGGGCTACCGTCGTGAAGGTTCTTCGACAATTTCATAAATAGGTCTTTTTTTCTTTCTTCACACGCGGTATTAGTGTAATGGGAGGTGGGGTGACGATGGACGGGCTTTTATATGTGATGTTTCATAACTAATGCGCGGTAAAGGTTGAAAAAATCCAGGCATGCGTGCAAAATGTGGTGGTAGGGGTGGTGGCGTTGGGCCGAAGCCACCATCGAAGCCATCACGTCCATACGTTATATCTAGGTGTGTGTTATATATAGGTGTGTTATTCCAATGCATAAGCGTGGCGCTATCCTTAATAGTGAAAACATTCAATCTTCCACCGCTGGCGTCTTGATTGTGATCAATAGCGGTCTCTTTATAAACTATATCTTGAAGCTCAACGTTCTTGTTTTTGTTGAAACTTAATCCATGTCGCACATCGCTAGGTATAAGCTCCTTGCTTGATCTCACTGCTGAAATTAATATTATTTCGCGTTCCTAAAAAAAACCAAGCAACAATTAATTCAAACATGAGTGTAAATTTGTGTAAATTTACGAAATTTATACCTGTCCTTGGAAGTCCTCCACAGTACCTATTTTAGGCGCTTCTACGTCAGCATCATCGAAAAGTTTACGCAGATGTTTAACTTGTTTTTCGTACGGTGTTATGATGCCGATGGATTCCGGTTTAATGCTTTTACGATATAATTTTACCGTCATTAGGAAAAGTGTATATCCAATTGTGGACGTTCACGCGTCTGTACTTGGGAGGGAAACGAGAACTGTTCAGGGGTCTTCGGCTTTAACCCTGTCTCCAATTACCAGTGAAGGACTGCGTCCGAAAAGATTTTCTATGGTGAGAGCTAAATATTTTCCCTGACGTGTTAAATGGGCTCGTTCACGGTTATACATGCGGATATTGGTAAGACACTCAATCTCCTCTAAATGTAAGAGTGTTGTACCAGAGAGTGTTGTGTATTGTACCACTTTAAGGAATAAGCGCATATTCGTTCTCAATAATTCAACAGGTCTTTGTAAAAAAGCCATCGATGCGAGAATAAGCGTATATATTCTCAATAATTTGTATAGAAATTCCAAACAACTGAGAATAAATTCTTTTCCTTTAAAGCGCACTTGAGATTTGAAGCCACTCAGGCGGATAACTTGTAAAATTAAATAAGTTTAGTTCGCGTATTTTCCAAAACACTATATATATCTAGAGGAGATGATAAAAGAGCAAAAGCGACCAAGTCAAGGAAGAAGAATCGAAAACAATCAGGAAACCATTAAAACCATTAAAAAGAATAACAATTTCTTTTATATATATTATTTTTTTAAACATATTAATAAAGTATTTTGATTTTCCGAATGACAAAAATTAAAATTGAAAAGTTAATTAAATAATTAAAAGTAATTCAAGTCAAGAAACTAAACTATTAAAGTATATATATACATATTAAAATTCATAAGTTACAGACAATTGCGGCAAATCATTGCGGTAGGAACAAACAAACCTCATCGAAACCCTTTGCAAATTGCTTAAACAGCATATCCCTGAAGTGCTGGTGATTTTAAGTGATCTCTACAGAAACATAGACAAAGAACATATGCGCACAAAGGGTTTTAAAAATACTCATCTCTCTCAGGAAATTTTGATTGATCAGGTATTGAATTCATTTGTAGACATAAAATAATGCTTTGACTTTTGCAATCCCACAGCGGATTATACTTTTTTTCAGCGATCAGCGTATCCGTAGCATCATTTATCAAAACTGATTGATAATTTTTGGATAATGGACGCTTATGGAGTCTTGCAAAGAAAGCGCTGAACTTAGAAGAAAAAGAGCATAAATAAATAAACATAAAATAGGTAAAAACGCTACGGTGAGCCACGACACCCCATTAAATATCTTATATCAATTTTCCACGTATTGGCTTTTCAAAATAATCCTTCGCATGGGAAGTGGTCGAAAAAGCGGTCTGGCCCGAATTATTTCCAATAGATCAAAGCAAATCATTGTACTATATTTCATTAAAATATCTCAAAAATATCACCAAAAAGCAGGACGGATGGACAGACTTTAATTGGTTCAGGTTGTGATTTCGAATCGATCACAGTAATAAAGGATGGCTCTGTCTTGAGTCCTTCTGGGTGTGCAAACTGCACAAACTTAATATGTTAATATATTCTTGTACGATAAGCGGTGTAGGGTATAACAAGAGATAAAAAATAGAAGCGATGGAAACTTTTCATTATTACAAACCTTATTGTATTTTATACAAATACATGCAAAATTATCGAGAATTGTAAACAAACGTATTCAAACATATATATATCTTATCCTTGCGTTCTTATCAATTGGAAAATCCAATAATTATATAAGACTTAAAGTTATATCTCGTATTAAAATGATTTAATCTTCACTTATCAAAGTCAAATGTGCAAAGTTTTCGACTTGCTTTTATAAAATTTGTTCACAAATTTTGACCCATAAGGACTAACCTACTGTACTAACTTTAAATGTATGTTTGCGCTGTGATGGGTTATATAGGAGAAGGAAGGACGTTTTGATGTGCAAGAGCTTTAATATTATGACAGTGGTCCACAGAAAACATTGTCGCTTATAAAGGAGAGTAAATTATTGGTATTGATATCCGACTTACAATCGCATCATTGCAAGGAAAGTTTAAATTTATTTCAACATTGGCTCTAAGGTACTTTGACATCGGTGAAAAATACGTGTTATTGTAGCTGTATTAGTGCGTGGCATTGTTGAAGACAAACGAGTAACAGCTTTTCGATAAAAAAAAAAATAACAGAAAAAATTGAAAGATGCCCAAGTAAAAAAAATAAATGCATGAAGCGGGTACTAATGTGGAAAAATCGGAACTGTGTATAAAGCTTTTCAAGTTGGTATTTGGTAGCTTTCATGGCATAGGTAAGCAATTTGATATCATATGTAGGCAATTTTTATACAAATACAGGTTCAAGTATTGAGAATTGTAAACAAATGTGGACGCTTGTTCTCAGATGTTTGGAATTTTTATACACATTTTTGATCACACCTTAACACCTTATTTTCAAAATACGGATAACGTCAGGGTGGTCTAGGCTACCACAGCTACATTATTTTTATTTGTTTTTATATATATTTTACCTAGTACTACTCTACAAATGTTTTAGTTACTTTACTCTTATTTATTTTAATCTAATTTTCAGTTTTGTACGTTATTTACAATAAAAATAAAATCTGCATTTTTTGTTATCTCTGTTTTTGTGTTCGATATCGGCAATTAATATTTTGTATATTAACGCGCACACAGTATTACACAAAGCAGTTAAGGTTTTTATTATAAAATTTTTCAATTTTTATACATTCCCTCAGCTTTTTATTAATTTACATAAAAAATAATTCTTTTATTTTTCAATTAACTTATAATGATTTGATTATTTCTATCTCAAATCACAAATTTCCTGTTGTTACTTTAGTTCACAACCTGCATGTTACGAGATTTGTCAACCAACTCTCTCTAAAACAAAATCATTTGTCTCACCTCAATCGATTTTTTCTGCGCATAGCGGCAAGCCGCTTTTCTTGCCAAATGTGCTCTCGAATAACGGCAGGCTATTATTACGATCAACTTACTCTATTGCGATAGGGTGTTTTCACTTTCTCTGGATGCCTAGTCACATGGGCATTCTTGCCAACAACACTGCAGATAAAACTGCATCTTCCAAACCATCTCATTTTCATTAACATCATCGTCACGATTATTATCGTGGCGTGATATCTTCAGATCTGGGAAGAATCGACAGAAAGCTTTCAGTTTTTTCTTGGCAACATCGGGATAATTCACCTTACGGTCGCCATTTATACCCTTTCTTTCCACAAATAAATAAAGCCCCTTGGTTTATGATTTGCGGTCTCAGACGTGCCATTATTTGTCTTATTAACGGGCTGAAGTTCAATCACACGAGATGTAATGATCATCTGCTCAAAGTTAACATAGTAAAATACCTTTACGCACATGTCTTACAATCTCCTGATCATATCCTATTTGTCTGTCCGAAGGTTACCATTTCTATTCGCCATTCGATACTTCGCAAATTGCTAAAGCAACCAATTTTTTTTTTAAATTTCCTTTAATGTACAACAAGCAGAAATAATAATTTACAAAAACAATAAAGAAACAAATTATATTATTCATCTATTCGGAATTAGGGCCAAAAATCACGTTAATTTTTCTCTACCTTGGATATATATGTAAATAAATACAGCAATTGATAGAAAATTTTCGATTCGAATAGAAAAACGGTCTGTCAATCCTTGTGACAGAAATTGTTCTCTGTGAAAAAATGAATACTTAAAAAATAATCAAATCAAATTTTAAGAATAATTAATTCCTTTTTTCTCGGATCAGAAAGAAGAGTGATTTCACCAAAGTTGAAATGCGGTTAAACGCATGTCCCAAGAATCTGCTTAAATTCGGTCCCTAACTGACTTCTTCTGCAAATTTGCAGAAGTGATACGCTTTTATAAATTCGACCATTGCGCTAATTCTCGTGTGCCGTTGGACACGGCCCATTTGAGTTTTTCCGGTAATGTTTTGCCTTCCCATAACTGTTTGAGAAGCATTAACTTCCCAGTTGAACCATATATCGAGCCGAAATTACAATGCCGCAAATATTGTCGTTTCGGGTGCACTGATAAGGTGTGTTCGCGCCAAAAGCCTCTCTGCTCTTCCAGTGGCAGAAGCCATGAATGCACCTGGAATTGTTCTCAATCTAAAAAATCTATTAATTATAAGTGTGAACATTCATCTAATTCGAAAACATGTCCTTCCTGTAAAAAAATTACTAAAACCAAAAAAGATATTGAAGATCAAATATGCACCTTCTCTCGAAATTCCTATGCTCACGCATTTCATCCTCTCTAAAAAGTTTCCCTACATTTTCTTCTCCGGCTTCTCAATCAACAATCAAACGACTAAACACTGAGTCTACTGTCTCAGTTCCAAACAAAAAGATGATAAAACCTGAAATTACTATCCCCCCTTCCAATATAAAATTTTCAATGCCCGAAACTACGACACTCATCACAGACAATATTTCTTCCGATCACGAAATGATCGCAGATTCTAACACTTCCTGTAACTGACCTCAAATCTCTGATCGTATCCAAAAATTACATAAATTCAAACCGTCCTCTAAATCAAATTCTACCATTATCGCTTATCTCGCCACCTTCATATGAGTATTCTAAACGAACGATCCCTTGGTTTCCGTGCTCTTATTCTCTCTCAATCAATAATGCAAATAGCTCAACTTAATTGCACTAGCATCCGTAACAAGTTGAACAATACCTTCCTTTCATGGTGGTGTGGCGATTCTTATATCTAATAGACTTTTATTCTCTTACATATCTAATTTTGCAAATTGTGTACCTATCGAAGCTTGCAACTGCATCATTCACACTTCCTTAGGCGAACTTCTGATTATTACATTTTATATTCCACCTAATTGTAATGTTTCGGATTCTGCAATTAATAGATTATTGTCTTTGAGATCTGACATATCTGCATTAATAAGTGGTGATATTAATACTCACAATGTTTCTTTGTGTTCACATTGTGCCTCTTTTTTATAGCGCGACGAATCATCGGGAAACAATAAACCACCATGTGTCAGCATCTCTCCATCATCTCGCCATATGTCAACGTTTACTTTATAACCCAATCCTAAAATTACTTCTGGAGCGCGATAATACCGAGTTACAACGTAAGGTGTCATCATAAAAGTGATATCAGATGTCCGAGCTATTCCAAAGTCGAGTATTTTTAATGCACAATTAACTTTTATAACAATATTTGACGGCTTTCAAAAAAAAAGGAATATAACTCAAAAAATATCCCCACAGCGAAGGCACTATTGTAAACAACTTATTTGGGTATTGGGAACGCGACAAAGCCGATGAAATGGATGAAAATAATGAAAGTTAAAGAGTTATGCAAATGGCTGCCTGAGGACATTAGAACCGAGAAAAGTGCCACTGAAAAGCAACAAAAGAAGAGAAGTAGCGCCAATTTTTGATGAAAATCAATGTTTCAAAGATTTTCGTCAGAGAAATTTACAAGATGTGCTATGTTGAGCTATGATTCAACCATTAGATTAGATAGAAATTCTCGAAATAAAGCTCTAACAATGATAAATCAACTTAGATAAAATATGGATTTATAAGTTACTTGATGCTATCATAATGTATTTAGTCTGACAAACAAAATTCCTCACTTAAAAAAATAAAAATCAAGCAAGAAGGAAATGAGGTTAATAAAGTGCGCTCGGAAAGTAAAAGTTTATTTAAAACAGCACTTTCGGCATTTTTATTAAGTGTCTCCTTAGTAATTATTTTAATTAATTTTGCGCAATTGGGTTTGTGAGGCTCGATATTTCTTTTTAACAGAATTTTGAGCGATTATTTTTCTTTTTAGCAGCATTTTGTCTTTTCTCTCGCTTCTCTACTCTTACACTTCTTTCACACATTAACATCTATTGTCCAATTGCTACATATTCTGTGCAATTTTTGCGACGATTTTCGTAATGTTCGATCGCTGCAAAATCAATTGCCATCATTTTCTCCTAATAAAACCATTTATTTTCGAGCCGCTTTCGATTTGTAAGTGCCTCGTTGATGAAGATCAATAAATAAAAACAAAATCATGTATAATTTTGACAAAATTAAGCAGTTTTAACAAAAAAAAAAAGTTGTAATCAGTGGGTTGTACTGCTCTGCGAACTGGCGCGAATACCTACCCATATTAAGCGGCGTAGAATTACTTGAAATTCCGACGGGTTATGAGTGATAAAGTCTAATTTGGAAATATTTGTTGGTGTAGTCGCTTCTCTAATTCAAGAGGCAGACAAATTCGAGATTTTCTTGAAAGCAGCAATTTACTCTTACTAAATAATGGTGATCCTGTTCATTTTGGTGGAGCTTCTTCTTGCATGGATCTTTCGATATATACACCTAATCTAAATTCTCCTGGAAGACCCTTACGGACAGCTTTGCTGGTTCTCACTGTCTAATCGAAATTGGTCTTCATTTGCGTAGTACTACCCGCTGCCACTCACGTACCCATGTTTCAAAGTACATCAAACCTTCTTTACTTAACAATACCACTCGTAACATTTCAAACACCATCCAAACCAATGTGAAGCGAAGTAGCTTTTAATGTAGAAACTGTAACGTATAATAATATTTAATTTAATGCGTGGGATGTGAGTGGTCAGGATAAGATTAGGATATTGTAGCGTCATTATAACAAAGGTAAAGTGAAGTACAAAAAAATGTATCTTTTATAAATGAAAAAATAAACATTGTTTTCACTTATGTTTCAGGTACCCAAGGCCGATCGAGAAAATCATATCGAATTGCAAATCTACAACAAAAGGGTGTACTATCTAAAAAGATGGTTCGGTGAAAAGAAAAAACCCTTTCTATAGGTGAAGATTACGTACCGCCGGAAATAAAGAGAATTAATTAGAATTAGCATAAGTACGTATATGTAAAACATTCTCACACAAAATAACTGTGCAACGTCATTTCCAAAGTATGTGAAACTTTGTTTACGTAACAATACTACTTATTTCAAAAATTATCGAAGCCAATGATTCTGGTGGTTTCGTTCACAAGTTCTCAACGTCTTTCACTGATTCTCTGAAACGAAAGTCTTCTGCAAAATCTTACCTTCCTAATCCTTGGTGGAACACCGCATGCAATCGTGCCACTGCCAAACTTAGGCCCGCTTTAAATAAATGCAAAAGATCTCCTTCTAGAATAAATTTCACATATTTGGCTGTTATTAGAAAACTATATATTTATACTCTCAGGCTGGAAAAACGTAAAGGTTGAAAACAATTTTTGAAAATGTGAATAATGACATGTCAATCCCAGATGTTTTGCATAATGTCAGAATTTTCAGAGGTATCAGCTCCTCCCTTTCCTGCATTTCCTCACAAAACTTTAACGAGTTCTCTGACAAACTTGCTGGATCTTGGATGAGGAGAGTTAATCTCTCAAAAGTCTCAGCTCCGGGTTTAGATGGTATTCTTAACAATCAGTTCAAAATAATGAAAACAGATTAATTTTACTAAAACAATTTAACAATATTGTAATTACAGGCTGTATACCTTCTGCCTGGTACGACTTCCAGTTCACTTTAAGAAAAAACGAATAACTCCTCAGCTAATTTTAATTCCTACAGATGAATTGCGTTAGAAAAATTTTCGAGAAAGTATTATACTCACATTTAGCAGTCCAAACAAGTTTGCAGTAATCTTCAATTTGGTTTCAAACGTTACAAATCTGCCCAAGACAACATCGTCATTTTAGCGTTTATTAAGAACCACATTTTAATTGCCTGCTTCCTGGACATAACCTCCGCGCTGGATCTGTCAATATCGACATCTCAAAATCTATCCTTCTAGCTTTGAATACCCCTACCAAATTCTGTAATTTGTTATGTAACCTCTTTCTCTATAAAAACATGTTAATTAACAATGATGATGTAGTTGTACAGAGGAGATCTTTTACACATGCTCCTCTGAGAGTCCTCTATTGAGCCCTCAACTCGGTCTTTCTGAGTATATTTTGGAGATCTTGCTCTCATTCACCACCAAATTACTTAATTAAAAGTAGTGTGAATAAAATTTATTTCTATTAAAAAGGATATTTTGTTTTCAAAATGAAATGCCTTATTTTTTTTTTAAACACTGGAAACATGCTCAAATAATCGAGTTCTCAACAATTAACATGTTTAGAAGACAGCTTAGGTATACATATATATAAAGTATATGCATGAATTGTCAGCCGGCTATAACATGCATTATTATCTTTTTTATTATCAGGATGGGTTTTTATATAAATAGATTTTTTGGAATTGCCAATAGTTCTCGAAATCGCAATAACGGCGAATATTAAATAATATAGCGAAAAATGTCTTGTTAGTGCCGCTAATTTCAATACAGTTAATATGTCGGAAATTATCTGAAATAGGTAGAAAAAATCCATCTAGATTTCCAGGGAAAGTATGTGAAACTCTGATGGGTTTTCTTAACAATACATGAAATATATAAAATTCTAAGTAGAGGAAATAAATGAACTTACCGTCGATAAACTGTTTATTTTGGCAGGGTTTTTGCGTTTTTTTGATGCCTTTTTTTCACAAAAAATTATTTACAAACTCCTAGCTATTAATATAATGAAAACAAAAATAAATATACCGATAATTTTTTGTAGGCTTTTTTTAAAATTTTTTGTAAATGTTTCACAAACTTTTTATTTATGTATTTTTAAACTTTTTAATTTCTTTTATTTAATATTTTTTTTACACTTGTTCACTACAACTTCTTTGTACACTAAATCAATTTTGTATTCACTTTTAATATCTCGCATTTCTTCGATTTAAAGACTAAACCATTTATTTATGCTTTCACTATTTTGAAAAAAGTCTTTCAATTTAAAGTTCTTTTTATTTAAAATATTTCTAGTTTTTCTCAATCTTTCACTCGATTTAGATTTTTCAGCAAGCACTTTTGAAATGTCTTCGTTTTCACACAGCTTTTCTTCTGTACATGGTTTATAAAAAAAAAAGTACCATATGTTGTTAATAGAAGGACAGAAGGGAGTTGCTTTCAATAAATGGTGGAAAACTATCGTAGCAATTCTGTTAAATGAATAAATAATGGAAAACGATTGCAGCAATTCTGTTAAATGGGAATAAATGGTGGAAAAGCACCGTATTAATTCTGTTAAATAAGGCTAAAGGAATAAAAGCACCAAAAAACGTCGTAGAAAATATTAGAAGCTAAATGAACAACCATTAAGATATTCATACATTTTGTATTAGTTTATGGAACTAGATATAGCTGCATTCAGCAGTCCTTTGTAATTCAAGTTGCGCAGTGCTGGAATCAATTCCTAGGTCTTTAACCCGATTATGCCTCCACCCTGACTTTGCTAAGTCTGCAATTTATTGGTGTTGCTTAAAGCCATTTCATCCTCCAATGATTCTATTCAATTGATACTACTGTTTAGGGCACCATCCCTTCAGCTCCAGCTCGTCCTAGCAAATGATTACAGCGAAAGTAAAATAGCTCTGAACAGGGAGTTATATTCTACCAGCACTCTATCACTACCACTTGTGCCGAAAGCAGACATAAATAATCCATGATCCCCGATATGTGTAAAGCAGAGAAAATCTCTATTAGAAACCGATACGATTTGGCAGAATTACATAACTAATTGTCGCACTAAAGACTGTGTATGTATATACTTTATCTTCCTGGTATACGATATTTAGGGAGTAGTACACAAAGTCGTAGGTAAAGTTAGTTTCCCGATTCGAGAGGAGAGAATAATAAGAAAGAAAAATTGTACACCCGCTCTTAAACGATCTCTTCATTTTTTAAAAGATGGATGATTAGCCATGTTTGCCACGATTGATTAAACTGATTTTCGGCTTTAACTTATTTTGTAAATTTTAGATGTCATCTGCATCCCATTGAAATATATATACAATGTAATTGTACTTATCACAAATACATCCACAATATAAGATCTGGAGCATTTGGTAGATTTAATATATATTCTCTGTGACAAGTATAAGAATGTACGATGTTTTAAAAATTTTCAGCCGAAATATGCAATAATAATGTGTAGTCAGAAAATTGTTGAATCTAAAGTTAACTAAAGTAAGATTTTAATACTAATCGAGAGCTCTTGGTCTAAACTGTAGAACCTTTAATCCCTTTAAATAATAATTTGCTTGCGAGAAAAGTAAAAAAAAAAAACACATTGAGGAGGAGTAGGTATTATACAAGATCATAACATATTTTTATTGTATTAATAAGCGCAAGCACAATTAACGACTTGGCGTTCTTTTAATCAATTTCCTAATATTTTATAGGAAATGTTTGTTAGTATCTCGAAGAAAAATGCATTGATTACGCATAGCATAGCATAACATAGCATCCTAAAGGATTATCAGGACTTACTACGTCTACTAACTATGTTTTAAGATAATTTTGAATGTATCGTACAAAACCATTGGGATACATTCATTTGTACTTATGTCATCTCTTTTTTCGACTTATATACACACATATTACATATCTCCAGTAATTTCGTTCACTTACCAATATTTTCAATTGTA